CATTAATATTAGTTTAAAAATTAATTCAAATACAAATTTATTTCTTGCTAAAAGCATATTGAAATTTACATCTCTTTCATTTACATATGATTCTTCAATAGATTTAAAAACAATTAATCCAAATATTAAAGAATTAGATATAACATTAAACCAGTATACTCCAATTGCTCCATTTCAATTATTTTTAAATAAATTTCTTCTCAAAAAATTAATTATTCGAATTGAATATGAGTGTCAATGGAATTTTATTCGTTCATTAGCTAAATTAGTAAAATCTATTAATGCTAGTGGATTAATTTATGTTTCAAACAAAGTTATTTATGAATCTGGTGAAATTGATGATTTACTTATTAATATCCCACAAAATATATGTATTATATTTACTGATGGTTATATTGGATGTAACGGATTTTCTGGTAGATTTGGAAAATATGAAGAAGATAATATTATTCAAAGAGATGGAGATAGTTCAGTCATTGTTCCTATTCCATTACCAGAAATAACACTTGATCATACTTCTTATACAACTCAATTAAAAACGATAGACTTGTCTCAAAAAACTTGGATATCATCAGTAGAAACATCATATAATCTGAAATATATTAAATTACCATCTTCAATCATTTCATTAAAATTATATAATCCTCCTTCATCTTTACCAATGAATTTAGTTCAATTACATATGGAAAATATAAATAATTCAATGGTAAATTTATCATGTGCTTCTTTTAATAAATTGATATTAAAAAAATGTAATATTGAAACATTACAAGTACCATCTACATTAACATTTTTCTCAAGTAGTTATAATACTTTCTTAAAAGTAGGATTAAATTGTCAAATGAAAGAAGCTACTTTTAGTTCATGTCAATTACCAATGTTATTAATTCCTACTACATGTACTTATTTAAATGTTTATTGTTCTCGTTTACCATTTATTCAATTAACTGGTTTAAAACAATTAGAAGTTTATAACTCTGATTTCTCTAAATTAGCAACAACAACTCGTTTATCACAATTAACTGGATTAACATTTATATCGAAAACTGAACCTGAATTCATTTCTTTAAATGAACTTCCAATTCTTAAATATTCAAATGCATTAGTTCAATGTAATCTTCAACATGTTTGTTTCTCTAAATTTATTGCTCCTGGATTAAAACAATTAACAATTGATTTTGTACAACCAGTTCTCATTTCTGGAAATAATAACAATTCTCTCCTTTCTTCATCAGATATTAATGAAGATAGTTTACCTTCAATTCCAGAAAAATCATCTGTTCTTGTTTCACCTTCTTTTACAGTTCCACGTTTAACAGAGTGTTATTTAAAAGGTATTTTATCTTTACAATCACCAATAGATTCATGGAGAATTTATATTGACGGTTGTAATGATATTGTTTTAGGTGCAACAAATGGTGTACATTTAAAAAATTGTCATGGTAAAATTAATTTTAATAATGAAAAGAATGCATCAGTTATTTCATCACTTTCTTTATATAATTGTTTCTTTGATAATAATAGTTTTCAAAAACTTAAAGCTGTTCAACATTTACGTATATACATTACTGGTAATTTTAAAGTTTCTGAATGGAGGTATCAATCTTTTAATCAATTAAATGATATTCTTTTATCAGCTAAAAGTATCAATTTAGGGTCTATTGTTATTCCTTCATCTGTTACTTCATTATCAATTACAAGTGAGAAAAAGAAAGGAAAATTAACTCAAACAACTATTAATCAATTAAAAGTTCTTTCATTAAATTAATCTTATGTGAATTGAATCTATTTTATAATATCTATTTTTAATAATCTATTTTAAAAATAACTTTAATTCTATCATGTCTAAAAAATATTTAATCTAGACTCCTTCTTCTAATGGAGCATATGTTGCACGTTCATTAATTTTTGGTGCTTTTTTAACAAGTAAAAGAAGTAAGGTTATTATAGCAGATATTACAAAAGATGGACATACAGCAAACATAAAATAATGAACAATTTTACCATCATTTTGTTTTTCTGGATTATAGAATAACCCATGAACTAATAAGAACAATGAGTTTGATATAAATTGTGATACTGTCAATGAACCATTTACAATACCTAAAAAGAATCCAAATTTATCAGGCTCAACTACAGAACGAGTTAATGCATAGGGTGTTGCATTTAATTGACAATAAACTAATGCAGCTGATAATAATGGAATTAGAGATACACAATATGCTAATGGATCAAATGAATCAATATGTTCATTTGAATGAATTGGAATATAATACAAAATTGATGTACAAAAAGCAATAAGATTAAATATAAATAATGTTATTTCAGGTATCCTATTAATAAAGAAAAGAACTAAAGAAGTTATTGATAAGGTAATAGCAAATAATAGTTTATTGAAATTATAGAAAACAAATGAATCATTTATATGATAAAATAAATAAGTATTATACAATAATTGTGTATTTTCTTTCATTGGAGTCCAAGAAATCCAACCAAAGAATACAACTATAAGAATTAAATACATATTTTTATTCATTGAAATAAATGATTTCCATATATTTTTTATATGATATAATGGTGACTCCCCTCCAGACATAAATGTAGTTTCTTTTGCAAAATGACAAAAAACCCATACACATATTGGTAAAATAATTATTGATAATACATATAAACTAAATACTGTAATTAAACGAATATTCATATATTTTATATGATGATTTAAACTATCATTATTACGTTCATTAAAATCATTAAAAGAAATACATATAATTGAAGAAATTCCATAAAAAAGTATTTGTGCTAATCCTGTCATTAATGATGACATTAAATTAACTTGATTTTGATTTTTTGAATCAAATTCATCTAAAATAAAAGATCTATATGATAATTGAATCATGTTAATGCCTATTGTCCATATAACAAATCCAATAACATAAAATATATCACTTGTAATATAACCATTTGTTAATATGTTTTCACTACTTGAATCTATACAACTGATAAATAAAATAGGATATATTGATGAACACACAATAATAATTGCACCTAATAACCATACTCCTAACCCAATTAACATAAATGGTCTTCTTCTTCCCATATTAAATGTAGCATGGTCACTTAATGCTCCTATAATAATTTGAACAAATAAACCAATAACTGGACCAACTGTCATTTTTATTGAAGTGTGTGCGTTTTGATTAAACTGAATAGGAGATAAGTCAGAAATAAAAAATAAAGTTGAAATTGGAACATTGTCTAGAAATAAGTATATCAAATCTATTTAAATTATTCATTCTCTATAATTTATTGAACAAACATGCAAATTCAATTCCAAATTGAACTAAACTAACTAACACAAAATATAAATACATTTTTAAGGTATTTTTCATTTTCTTCTTTCAAACTACTTTTCTGTTTCAATTTTAAGTTTTCTATTCATTTCATGTTTTAATTTTTTATTTTATTAAATAACAATATTATTTTTTAATTCTGTTATTTTTTTTTTTTTAGTTTATCAACTTAGGAACGGTACTGGTTTCCTTGAGCTAGGAACAATAATAACCAATTCTATTAACACTTATTTTTATAGTTATCAATAACTATTAATTACATTAAATAAAAACAAAATATGTTTTACTTTTAAAAATGGTTGAATTGAAACTGAATATTTCTTTGTTTTTCATCTTTGAACAAAGAAAATTCTATTACTTCTAATCAAAGAATACAATGAACTTAGAGAACTAAATTTTACAATGTCCCAAAATTCCTCAAAAAATACTCAAGAATTAACTGGAGTTTAAAAATAATGAGATCTAGAAGATCGAATGCCTTCCAACTATCTCATCTAAAATAAAAAGAAAGACGGTAAACTCAAAAATCTAATCTCAATGTCTAAGATTATCATTCCTGATATTCCTAAAATCTGTAAATCAACCACCTCTCATTTTTTAAAATACTTTAAGGCTAACCAAAAACCTCAAGATGCAATTGTTTTCTTAGAAGGTGGTCTTGAACTTCCATTTTATGATACTGATGGTGAATATCTTTTTAGACAAGAAAGTAATTTCCATTATTTGTTTGGTGTAAAAGAAGCTGGATTTTATGGAATTGTCAAAATGGATGGAACCCGTATTCTTTTCCTTCCACAATTACCTGAATCACTTCAGATATTCCTTGGACCTAATTTACGTCCTGAAGATGTAAAAAGAATGTATGGTGTTGAAGAAGCATATTATGATTCTCAAATCGAAGAAGTTTTAAGTAAGTTAAATCCATCTATGATTTATTTGTATGCCAAAGGAGTTAATTCAGACTCAGGAAGTCAACCAGCTCCAATTAGAACTAAAGCTGTTTATAAGTATAGTACTAATGAAACTGAATTACATGATGTTTTATTTGAAGCTAGAACTGTTAAGACTAAAGAAGAAATTGATTTTATGAGATTAGCCATTAATGGAACTGCTGAGGCTCATCGTGCTTGTATGAAATATTGTAAACCTGGAATGTATGAATTTGAACTTGAAGCTGAATTTTATCGTGTTGCTTATGGACAATATGGTATGAGAAACTTTGGTTATTTCCCTATTTGTGCTTCTGGAAATAAAGGAGCAACTATGCACTATGGACATGCTGGTCATCCAAATAGAAAAATTATGGAAGACGGTGAAATGGTATTAATGGATGTTGGAACTGAATGTCATAGATACGCAACTGATTTAACATTAACATATCCAATCAATGGAAAGTTTACTGAACAACAAAAGACTATTTATAATATTGCCTTAAATTGTAATAGAGGTTGTGAAGCAGCTATGAAACCAGGAGTAAAATGGTATGATATTCATGAACTTTCTAACAAACTAATGCTTAAAGGATTACTTGAAGCAGGATTAATTAAAGGGGATTTAGAAGAAATGTATAAAAATGATGTACATTTCTATTTTATGCCTCATGGAATTGGACATTTAATTGGTATTGATACTCATGATGTTGGAGGATTTAATCTTGGAATTCCAAGAAGTGATAATTGTTCACTTAAAAAGTGCCGTTCTAATAGAGTTCTTGAAGCAGGAAATATTTATACTGTTGAACCAGGAATTTATTTCATTCCATTCTTATTAGAGAGTGGATTTAAGAATGAACAAGTAAAGAAATATTTAGTTGAAAGTGAAATTAGAAAGTATTGGAACTTTGGAGGTGTTAGAATTGAAGACGACGTTTTAGTAACTGAAGAAGGAGTTGAAGTATTAGACAAAAATGTTCCAAGAACCGTTGAAGAAATTGAAGCATTTATGAAGCATTAAATTTTAATTACATTAAGTATTTCTTATTAGTATTTTATATTATAAATTTATTATAAATTATATAATTTAAAGAAATCTACTTATCTTATTTTTAATGGAAAAACCCTAATAAAAGAACTAAAAAATAAGATTTATAAGATTTATACAAAACCTAAGAATATAAAAAGAAAAGAAAAGGACTAAATAATTAACAATAAATGACTAGATTATATATTGGATCACTTGCTTATTCAGTTACTGATGAATCATTAAGAGCTGCTTTTGAGAAATTTGGAACAGTTACTGATTGTTTGTTATATAATTTTTTTAGAAAAAAAGAATAAAATAATTAGATATAGGTAAAGTTGTTACTGATAGAGAAAGTCAAAGATCTAAAGGATTTGGTTTTGTTACTTTTGAAAAAGATGAAGACGCTAAAAAGGCTATTGAAGAAATGAATGAACAAGAACTTGAAGGTAGAAGAATTAAAGTTGATGTTTCTAAACCAAGAGAAGAAGGTAGAAGAAGAGATTATAGACATGATGATAGAGATAGTAGACGTGACTATCGTAGTAGAGATGACCATTATAGAAGAGATTATCATCACGATGATAGAAGAGATAGAGATTCACACCGTGATGAAAGAAGAGACTCTCATAGAGATAATGATAAAAATTATGACTGATTCCCTTGATTGGTATAAGAAATTTTGGTTCAAAGAAATTATAGTTCAAAAATGATGTTATTTCCTTTCTTTCTTCTTTGGAAGATCTTTAACTTTCAAAAAAAAGAAAGAATGATTCTCCTAATATATTGTCCAATTTGAGGGATAAAAGAAAAATAAGGTTCATATAGAAAAAGAAATAGGTTTAAAATCATCTTGGTGATTTATTGTAATTTTATACATATATATTTAGTTTGTAATATGATTGGACTTGAAATGAGTATTTTGTAATATAGAAAATAATTGAAAAAATATTATAAAACTAATTATTTTTTAATTTTTTTTGATAAAAATATTATAAGAAAAATAAAAAAAATATTTTTACTTATGATAAGAAGGAGATTTTTAAAAGATTGAAGAATTATGTTTATTATTTCCCAGTGTTTTCTCATAAATAGCTTTTAATGCATTTGAACGTTCTCTGCTACAAGAAGATTGTAATACACCACTTACAGAAGTGCTGTAAGACGCATTAATTATAATAGACATAATGAATTCTTTTAAATATTTTTTAGATACAATATATTCATCTTTAGGTAAACGTATTTCAATTTCTTTTAAACTTCCTCTTGCCCATAATTCTATTCTATAGTTTGAAGAAGGTAATGGATTTACAACAATAATAACCTGAGTTCTAAATTGAACACTTGATAAATCAATTCTTTCTCCACCATCTTTAAATACAATAACAATATTCTCTTGGTTGAACAATTTAGTTGCACTTCTTTCCGTTAGTAATGGGACAACATGATACATTATTTCAAAACAATCTTTCCTTGAATAAACTGAATAACGTCCATCAATTGTAGTTGTGGTAATATCTAATCCACCACTATATCCATTAAAATTTAATAATTCAATTCCATTTCCAATATTTCCAAGAAACTCAAATAATTTATCATCACATTCTCTATTTTCAGTTACTGATTTCCATTTTGTTAATCCATTAGAACAGACAACTCCAACACTAATTTTTTTTGGACTAGTTACTTCTTCAAATTGCAACATTTCAGTTTCAACTTTTTTTGTTACAGGATACATTTGAACTGCATATTTTAAATATGATTTTACTATTTTTGTTGCTCTTTCTTTCGTACAAGTATTTGAATTAGGAAATGCATATCCTTTAGGGATAACATCTTTAATTTCTCCACCACTCCAACGAAGTAATAGTCCTACATCACCACTAGAATATTGATTAAATTCTAATGGCATTGAATCAAATTCTTTAAGGGCTAAGAAAACAACACGTAAATTTGAATCCATTCCTATCCATTTTGAAATATCTTCTTCAGTTTCACTTTTAAAATAACCATCCCACCATGGTTCTTTAGGATAAAGAAATGTTCCTTGATCACTACCACCTGAATACCTAACCCATTTACCACTTATATCAAAAAGTTGTGGTGATCCAAATTCTTCTTTTAAAGGAAAATAACCCCAATAACTTTCTATTTTTGAAGTTAATAAAGGTAATTCAACCGTTAACATATTTAAAGGTTTATATCCTGTTATTTGATCATTTATTTTTATTAATTCTTGTTTCGATTTATCTGAACTAGAATTACTGGGATCACTACCTCTTCTTTTACGTTCACTTTGTTCTTTAATAATACTTTCTTTTGTTGTTTTATTTAATGTTTTAAATCGTTTGGTTATTTGATGTTCACTAGAAGAATCTTTTTGTGTATTTTCATCTTTTTTAATAAATTTAATAAACGTTGCATCTATTTCTTTGACCATTTTTTTCTCTCTCATTTCAATTCCTTCAGAAATAATTTTATTTCTTTGTAGGTATCTTTCAGATTGTTCTCTTTTATAACTGCTTTGTGGCATTGATGCATAAATTTCATTCATTTTTAAATTAATTTCAGCAAATGCTTTATCATGAATTTTTAATAATTCTTTTCTTTGTTTTTCAGTTACAGTTTTTCCTTCTTTAATTAGTGCTTCAAGAGAAGCGATTTTTTCTTCTTTTTCTTCTTGAAGCTTAACAATATATGGCTTTTCATTATAAACAGAAAAGTTTTTATTTTCAAGATTCCATTGAGTCTCAGCCTCTCCAATTAATTTTTTTGATTGTTCTTCAAATCTAAATAATTGATTTTTTAATGTTTGTGTTTCTTCAGTCTTTTTTTGAATTATTTGTCTAAGTTGTTCACTTATTAATCTATAAATATCTCTTTCTTTAGTTACATAAAAAATCATATTTTCTTCTTTATGTGGATCTCTTTCTTGAATAACACTAACTTTATGATATTCGTTAATAAGTTGTTGAACTGTTTCTAAGCTCATAACTCAATTTTCAATTTTAGTTTTTTTTTAGTTTCATCTTTCTAATGTTAAATTTCAATTATAAAAAAGTTTAAAAAAAAACTTTTCCCATTAATGGAATTAGTTTCAATATTATTCTATTTATTTTTTTCTCTAATTTATTTATAATTCAATTCTCATTTACTTTTTAATTAAGATTCATAATTTTGTTAATTTGATAAATAGGAAAATATTTTAAAT